CTGTAACTACCAGCTTGTCCTTCTTAATCCCTTCCTCTTTTCCCCCCAAACCTCCTCCCATCTGGCAACCGTGAAAATGTTCCCTGTGTCTCCGAGTCGGTTTCTCTTCTGCTTATTTATTTTATTTTTTGAATTCCACATATGAGTGGAATCATAGTCTGTTTGTCTTTCTCTGTCTGACTGACTCATTCAGCTCAATGCCCTCCAGGTCCATGCATGTTGCTGCAGGTGGCACGATTTTATTTTATTTTTTTTATGGCTGTGTCATATTCCCTTGTGTATATGTACCACTTTTTCTTTATCCACTTATCTACTGATGGGCACTTACGTTGCATCCATATCTTGGCTATTGTAAATACTGCTGCAGTGAACATATAGATGCATATGTCTTTTCCATTTAGTGTTTTGGGTTTCTTCAGATAAATACCCAGAAGTGGAATTGCTGGGTCCTTCTTTATCTCCTGTTATAGCCTTTGTTTTAAAATCTCTTTTGTCTAAGTATTGCTATCCCAGCTTTTTTGTTTGTTTGTTTCCAGTTTCATGAAATGCTTTTTTCCATCCTTCTACTTTTAGTCCATGTGTGTCTTTGATTTGAAGGGAGTCACTTGTGGACTGTAAGGGTCTTGTCTTGTTCTCCATTCAGACACCCTATGTCTTCTGATTGGAGCATTCAATCCATTTTTATTTAAAGCAATTGTTGATATGTATTTATTGTCATTTTATTATACACTTTTTCATCTTTTTTCTTCTTCTTAAAGAAGACTCTTTAACATGTCTTATAATACTGATCTGTTGGTGACGAACTCCTTGAGCTTTTTCGTGTCTGAGAAAATTTTATCTGTTATTAGAGTCAAAATAATGACTTTGGTGAGTAGAGTAATCTTGGTTTTAGGTCCTTGCTTTTCACCACTGTGAGTATTTCTTGCCAATCCCTTCTGGCCTACAAAGTTTCTGTCGAGAAATTAGCTGACAGTCTTACACAGTAACTAACTGCTTTTCTCTTGCTGATTTTAAGATTCTCTCTTTGTCTTTAACCTTTGGCATTTTAATTATAGTGTGTATTGTTGTGGGTATCTTTGGGTTCATTGTGTTTGGTATTCTCTGTGCTTCTTGGACTTGTATGTCTATTTCTTTCACCAGGTTAGGGAAGTTTTCTGTTATTATTTCTTCAGATAGGTTCTGAACCCCTTGCTCTCTCTCTTCTGTACATGATTTTTTAATGGTTATTCTCAATCCCTGATATTTAGTAGCTATTTTGTATAGCATTTTAAATACAAAACTTAGGGAAATGAGAAAGAGTAAGAGTAAGGAATTGGGTAACCATTATCTGAAGATTTGTAATCAAAGGGTCCTAGTAAGAATAAGTTAGTCAAAGGGGTTAATTAATTGTTTATATTAAATTAAAAATTAGGAGTGCCTGTCTTAATACACTCCTCCATCCATTCACTCATCCATTCATCCATCCATTCATTCATCCTGTTCAACAAACATTTCTTGAATGTCCATAATAGCTCTAGAGAGATGAACATGCTTGGTGCCAGCACTTGACTGTGAGTCCTCTGCCAGTCATGAATGACAGTCATGGAGCTGGCTTGGCTAACCTCCCCACCTGTGGCTGTCTTCTGACAGCAGTGCCCGCCCACTGTGGGAACAGGCAGGGCCCCAGCAGCCTTCGGTGCACTTGGACTGTCCTCTCCTCTTCCCTGTGTTCTCTAAGTTCTTCTGCACGTTGAACCCCCTTTTATCTCGGCCCCATTTACCTTCCTGACTTTCCACAAAGCAATTGGATAAGTAATTCTAAAAGGTACAGCCTGGCCGAAGTTTCTTTTATGTCTGAGGATGACTCCGCCATTTAAAAAGGGGAACCGAAGAGAACTCTTACCCTTCGAATGCCATTTCAAAGCCAGCTTCACTGGGCTCAGCTACATTGCATGCACCTTTCTAAAAAATTATTTTGATTGCACTGGTAACTTTTTAAATGGTTTTTCTTCATAATGTCCTAAAACATTTGTCTTTAAAATGAGGGAAATGAGGGTACAAAGTTTTTTGGCATTAAAGACATCCACCTAACATCTTTATTTTAATGTAAATTAAAAGCTCTTAGTGAAGTAACTTCATGCCATTCTGTAGCCTTTGCTTTCCTTCCTCTGCCAGGCGTGTAGTTCAGCGGCTGCTGGGCTGCATATGGCCGCATTGCTTCATCGGTCCCTTAAGGGCCCACTCAGTAGTTACTTGGTTTTGATTTCAGATTCGTTGTTCACTTATCTCTATAGACACGAATACATAGCAAGATAAGTACCTAAAATCAACCACAGATTATGCATAGTTACATTTAGACTTCTACACACTAGTACGTATACAGTATTGCAGAAAACAAAGTGTTCTTATTGTAGACTTTAAGTTATAATGTGAAGAAAACAAATACCGTGTTATTTTCCTAATTTAAATGATGTCAAACATAATCACAACACAAAAGTTTCTATTTTTGAGGTCCCCAGCACCAAGATCCACATTTATTGTCATGTCTGAATACTCCAGAAATGAATTACTGTTGCCCTGTTTTCACACACGCGTCTCCTGTGTGCACAAGAACCGCGCCCTTCCAGGGCTGACTAACGCTGTTTGTTCGTGGGCGGGCCGGGGCACTGTCTTGAGTCTTTTCAAGACAGGCTCTAGCTCCTGCAGCCGAGTCAGTTACGTGGGAAAGCGCAAACCCACAATGACTGATAAGAAGGCAGGAAAACGTGGCTTAGCTGTTCCGTGTGTTTTTTTCATTCTACTACCAGAGGTCTTGCATGAAACTGTTTGAAACTCAAGTAGATAAACATCATTTATATTTGATCTTACCTAATAATGTAAAGGTTTGGCTACTGAACCCTTATTTTTGTACAAGTGAAAAGATACCTTGGAAACTTGAAAGGCACACATATATATATAGAAGACATTTTTTAAAAGTTGATGGGAGCAATAGTATAGTGAAATGCTAGGAATATCTTATATGTCCATCACTTAGGAAATGGATTTTAAAACTCTGGGATGAATATTCATTGGACTATCACCATATAGTCGAATCTATATCTTTCATCTCATTTAGGTATCAACCAGTTACAGCCCACTATTTGTTTCGTAAATAAAGTCTCACTGGAACATAGCGTACTCATTTGTTTATATTTTTTCTATAGCTACTTTCGTGCTACAATTTCAGAGTTGATTTGTTACCATATAGACTGAATGACTCTCAAAAGTCCAAATAATGTATTTACTATCTAGCCCTTTAAAGAAAAAGTGCACCAGCCTCTGGTCTAAGTTAAAATACCATCTACTGTAAAATGCACCATTAGCTTATGCACCACTAATAAAGAAAAAGTAGTATGCCAATTAAACTATGACAATCCATCAATTGTAAGACTACTAATTTTAGCGACATTAAAATATGAAGAAAAATCTCTTAGAATTAATTGTGATACATAACATTTCAAATGAATAAACTAGTGTTTGTATCAACATGGATAGATCTCAAATGCTTAATGTTGAGTGAAAAACAATTTGCAGAATGATGTGAACAGTATATTATTTTGTCTCTTAGAAGCACAAAGCAATATTACGAGTTTCTATAAATGCAAATATGGATAGATAAGCATAATTTAAAAGAATTGGAAGGATTTAAAGGAAGCTGATGACAGAAGTTTTCCCTGGGAGGAGGAAGGGTCAGGGTGATTATGGAAGACAAAGAGAGATTATCTCTATCTGTAATGTTCAGGTTTTTTTAAAAGGTGCATGATTAATACAAAATGCTTTTTTAAAATTTGTTCACATATAACTTTTTAAAAGATCTTATGTATTTATTTTTAGAGGAAGGGGAAGGGAGGGAGAAAGAAAGGGAGAAAAACATCAATGTGTGGTTGCCTCTTGTGCAAGACCCCCGCTGGGGACCTGGCCCACAACCCAGGCATGTGCCCTGACTGGGAATTGAATGGGCCACCCTTTGATTCACAGGCCAACACTCAGTCCACTGAACCACAACAGCCAGGGCACAAAGTACTTAGTAAAAGCATCAAAACATGGGAAAGCTGGAAGAAAACATGTCAAAATATTAATAGTGGTAAACTTTCTATAGTGAAGTATGATATAGTATTGATGGAAGTATTTAATTATATTTTGCTGTAATTTTTTAACTTCATGAATAACTGAAAAATGAGTCATGTGCTTCATTTCTATCTCAATCAAAAGAGATTAAGATTTGAAGACGTGCATGTTAATCAATTACTCGGCATTAAAAACTAATCCTGTTTTTCTGCTGTGGCATTAAGATTAAACAACGAGCAAGTCAGGGCCAAAATTCAGAGTTAAACTTCTTTTTCTCATTCGTGGTACAGCTAATCTTTAAAGACAACGAGCTTTATTCCTCCCCATGCAAAACCACCAACTGTAAAAGTTACATGTCAGGTGCATTTAACGAACAGAAATAGCTTGTCATGAGTCATGTAATGGATGTGCTGATGTCGCTTGGTGCAGCCCAGCCTCACTGGTTTTGAAAAATACCTTGTGATGGTGCACAATTTTCTATGTTGTCACATGCAATTCAGACCCTCATGTTCCATATTAAATGCTTTCATTGTTGTCACTTAATTATAGCAGGGCTTCCCAGAATATTCTCTGTAAGTATATCCAGAAGTTCAAAATGTTGAAGTATATTTTTAACACCCCCAGCTTCTTTCTGGTTTGTGAAGGAGGATCTACTCACTTACCACTGCTCTCATTTACTTGTTGTTTTTCTCTTGTTTTTATTTTAAGCCTGCCTCTCTCTCCCTAGGAGTGTCTCACCAGAAATAGACCAAACCGCCTGCCTTCCAGCTGAGTGGGAAAGGTGTCTGGGAAAGGGAGACAGGGGTCTTGCATCTGTGTGACGCCACAGACCATGAGACGGAGGTCTCATGCCACCAGAACCAAAACAGACAGCTGTGTTTCTCACTGTTTAACTCCACTTTTTCTTTTTCCAGTTCCATTTCACCATTTAGTATTGAGAGCACAAGACGCCAGAGACGGTCTGAATCCCCAGACTCCAGAAAACGGCGTATTCACAGATGTGATTTTGAGGGATGCAACAAAGTGTACACAAAAAGTTCTCACCTGAAGGCTCACCGGAGGACACATACAGGTACAACTCCGCAGGGCTTCTCACCCGAGGGTCAGTGAGCGTCCCAAAGGGCCAGCTGCTCAACCCCGGAGCCATGAGTGTGCTGGGGTGGTGTCATCGTAGGTACATGTTCAGTTTAGTTTCTTTCTGAGCAGAATGCTTTCCCTCTCTCAGGTGAAAAAGGCTGAAGTCTTAGTGAACGTTAGCAACCAATGAAGTGATTCTTCCATGTCTTTAGGAGTTGTTATGGTACGAACACAGTGATCTATGAGCATTTTTTCATACGAGCATTACCTCTTAATCATTGTCCAGTTTATCAGATTTTATGTGTCCATCAAGCAACAAGCTGAACAAAATTATTCTCTTCTTTTAAAGTTAGCCCTTTAAGTACCACTTAGATCATGTATTTCTCCCCTTGATCTCATCCCCCAAGTAACCAGAGAAAGAAAATGATGATGATGATGATGAAGAAGAAGAAGAAGAAGAAATTGGCATATACATGACACTGTGGGGAGTTTAAAAATATTTCTACATTATTCCATTTGATTCTCACTGGTGTTTTTCTTTTGTATATGGAGAGGATTTTTAGTGTTTGTGGTTTACAGAGAAGAAAACTGAGACCACAGGTGATTCACTGCCTTGTCATTATCCACCCATCCAACCACCCATCCATCCATCCACCACCCACCTATCAACCCCTCCATCCATTTCTCCACCCACCCATTCACCCACCCCCCTAGGAAATAAACTGATGAGTCTTCACTGAGCCCCTTACCTCCCCCATTCATCCTTTGCCCGGTGTGTCCTTCCACTGACATCCCCTGGCTTCCTTGGCTTCTGGATCCTGCCCGGTGCTGCCATTGGGATGCTCTGAGAAGAGACACAAGGTGGGAGGAGGACCCCACAATTATACTACCTTTTCTAGGAAAAGTAACCGGTGACCGAAACAGGTGAAGCTCAAAGAAACAGACATCATAGAGAGTTTGTTCAGACGCATTCCGAGGAGCAAGGTGCCACAGATCAAACAAGCCCAGCCCAGTGACTGTCCTCAACAGGATTCAAACTCCAGCACCTGTGTCGAACCAAAAACCTCAGGTGTAACTTATTTCTGTAGAGCTGTGCAAATACTACCCCCATCTCTGGTATATTAAAAAATAACCACATTATATTAACCGTTTCCCAGCTGCGGCAGCAAAATCATTTAAGTTGGCATTCTTTGCCACTATTCAATCGTGTCCTTCCCTCAGCACCCTTCCAAAGCCACTTTGCCTGACTGTTCACGACTCCTCACACGGACGCAGGGCGTGGTTTTGCGTGTGTGAGGAAGTTGTGGTGTAGGAGGACACTTGCTGAGTCAGGGAAGCATTATAGAATCTGGAGGTGACTTTTTTGCTCATTTAATGCCTTCTCATTTTAATACTTCCAAGATAATCAACACATTTTGCAAGCTGCCTCTTCTGTTTTTCGTTTTTGCCCCCATCTCTTCCCTTTTCCCACTCAATTCCAGTTCCTTCCCTCTCCATTGATTCTGAACTTCCCCAGGAAAAGTTTCCTTCTATTTCTTAGGTACTGTGTTTGAATAAACTTCTTCATCATTGAGGCAAAAATTAGGATAGACATGAGAGTCGAATAAGCATGGTTCATTCTATCAGGAGAGAGCGAACACAAGTCATAGTAGCAAGTATGACGGAGTCGTATTACTTCTATAGGATCATTTCTGTTTAAAAAAGAAAAGAATGGCCTCTCTTCAGTGACTCATCATAAATTTTGAGTTATTCCTATTTTCCTTGTACTTTCTAAAAATACATAATAGCCTCATTTTCACACAGACACCTCTACTCCATTTATTCAAGTGGTGAACAGTGACAGAGAGGAAAGGTTTAATTTGGTCCTATTAAAAGATCTAACTCTGTGGTGTTACAGGTCTGCATCTTACAAGTTTTACCACGTGCTATGGGAGTAGGGCAGACATGATGTACACATTATAATTCAAAGCAACTTAAGCCTTGAATGCTAAAGTGGAGTTAATTAGCTTGGCTTATTAATAAGATGAAATCATAGGCTCCTAGGGTCCAAATGGTTCAGAATCTAGTTTGTTTCCTAACTAGAGGGATCCCTTGGGTGTCATCTCTCACAGAGATCAAGCCTCTACTACGCAGTGCTCTGCACTTCCACATCTTGTGTTTGATCTTCACACCCGGTGGCTGCAGCTGTTATTACCTCCCGTGTGCACAAGTCAGGTTCCTGATCCGGCCTTCTTCACACAGCAGTCATTTTCCCACCCCTCCGTAAACGGTTTGGGGGTCAGAGAGCTTATTTTTCTGCAAAACAACTTTGGTGAAATTTGGGGGGCGGAGTCTTCATACAGTAGATAATTAGATACTTGGGTTTAAAATTCAGTGAAGAGATAATAGCTAGACTGATAACTTGTGTCTTTTCAGTTGAGATATAATTGACACATAACATTGTGTAAGTTTAAGATGTCCAGTGTATTGATTTGATACATTTATATATTACCCTATGATCACTACCATGGCTCAGCTAACACCTCTATCATGTCACGTGATGATCATTTCTCTTTTTTTGTAGTGAGACAATTAAGATGTAGTCTCTTGGCAACTTTGAAGGTTGTAATACCTTTTGTTGATTAGAATCACCATGCTGCACGTGAGATCTCCAGAAGGTATCTACTAGTTGCAAGTTTATACCTTTAACCTCTCTCCCCTCTTGCCATGTTGATGGTTTCTGACAGTGGTGTTTGCTCCCAGTCCCTTCTGGTTGACTGGGCTAACCCATCTCGCTGTAGTTTTCAGCCCCTGGCCCCGGGGCTCCTCACCCCACCACCATGATCCACTAGCATCTTCATTCCCCTGGCACGCTCAGCTCTCCGCCACATTCTCCTGGATAAACTCCAAGTCATCATGGTGTCTTTTTAAGTTTTCCACACCACAGATTGAGGAAACAGGTCTTGTTAATGAATGTTACTCAAAAGAAGCGAAGGTAATGTTAACTTTTTTTAACAGATGACTCTGTTAGGTCGTCCAAGTAAAAAAAAAAAAAAAAGGCAAAAAAAGCTTAAAACTAGGTCCTGTTCATCCCTTGTACCTGTAACTCATTTCTTTGAAACCTGAACATTCAGTGTTGTGTTTGTAGTTGGACCTGCCCCTCATCTGATGGCACCCTCAGGAGTACGGGCGCACCTCGGAGATACTGCAGGTGGGGCTCCAGACCACCGCGGGAAAGTGGGTCGTAGTCTTTCTGCTGATAGTGTCTTTCCTTCAGTTTTTAAAACCTGCAGCATCTGTGGAGTGCAGTGACGTGAAGTGCAGTAAAACGAGGCGTGCCCCTGGTGGGTTTGCTCGCCACAGGAGTGCTTACCCACGGGCTGTGACGATCTCTGGTGGGAGACATACGGCAGAGTCGTTGTCACAAAGGCTGCACGTGCCCTTTCAAGTCTGGGAAATAATTATGCTGTGTCCATTTTATTGATTTGGGCCTATTATTCTATTAAACCAAAACAATTTTGAACCCTCCCTATCTACCTTGTATCTCTCCTCGTCAGCATCTCCATTTTTGTCAAATACCACATAGGGCAGATTCAAGGAAAAGGCCCTGAGAGGTGATCCAGAGCCTTCCATCCAACTGGGTCTTAATTCGTTAACAAGGAATTAAAAATCCACCTGATTGTCCTATATCTAGTCCATAGTTCTCAGTCTCACAGGTACATCAGAAAGTCTACGTGAAATTCCTGCTCCATACTCACTCTCTGCTGTGCAAGGCGTAGTTTTTCAGGTTGGCTTGCTTTGCTTTTAAGAAATATGTTCCTAGCCTTACCTTTGCTTCAGGCATGTTGAGCAAGTTATTTATGTGTGACCAACAAGTAATATGAGGTTTAGGATTATAACAAATGACTTATGAGAACTACACACGCTATGGGAGATAAGGAAGTAGCAATGAAAAACTTTCTTTGAGAAAGTCACAGTAATTTTATCTTTAACATGATCTTTTTTGCTCTATTAGTGCATGATCAAGTCCTCTATTTAGGACTTATACAATAAATTAAACATTTATAGGAGTGTGAAAGAGGAACATTTTCTAGATATTAACAAGGAATTTAAAGTAAAAAAAAAGAAATGCTGAAAATGCCTTTTTTTAGGAATCTTACAAAATCTATCATTTAATCTGTGTTTGATAGATGCACATGGCCTAATAAAATACCAGAAAGGACATCTTAACATCTGAATTGATAAAAGGGTGCCCAAAGGAAGCGTACATTGATCGTCAGAATTCTCCCCTTCCAAAGGGTGCACCCTGGTGAGACTATATACATATTTCTTGCTGCACAGAAGGAGCTCATTGTCCTGGCCTTGTGAAAATCTGTTCTGCAAGGGCCGTCAAGCTTGTGCCATTGGTTAGATCTCGCAGATTATTCATCAGAATAAGAGTCCCAGCCCTTTCTCTTAGAGAAGCAGAGCTGACAGTAGGCTCTCTTGGCCTATTTCAACAATAATTTCACAGATGTGTAACTGTTGTCTACCTTGCTCCCTTACAGTGTGATCGAATTGCAAAATGTTGGAATATATATGGATGTCCACTTGTAAAGAATAATAATTAAATATACCTTCATGAATGTGCAGTTTAGATAATAACATAAAGGTTTGACCAAATATTTTTAAATGCATTTACTAATACCTGCCAGTAGCAAACTGTGTAAGTCGTGTTAAAGAGGAGGAGAAATATGTATCTCAGCAATCACATACTCGTGACCATCTCAGCAATCATATACACGTGGTCATCAACAGGTACATTGTTCCTGTTCACTGGTCTAAACTGTGTGCAGTTTGTGAAGCAGTGCACAGCGTATTTAAATGAATATGCAGTATATGTAAATTAATGGTCATTTAAACTAAGCTATACACAACTACTATGTACTGTGAATTTCCCTCCTTTCATTTTAATTTCATTGTTAAGTGATTTAAGTATGAGCTTTAGGAGAAAATGTTTTTATGAGTTTGGCATTG